GCTTATTCCATGGCCTAAACTCACTAGGAGAACAGTGGGTATCTCCAGCACTATTTAGTTTTCTCTTTTTATGTTTTGCCAAACATAGTTGAATTCAAGCAATTTAAATAAGCATATGACACAATCTACTGGTAACTATATTGGTGATCACACATAGGTTTCTTTTTTCCTTTAGTATGCAGATTTATTTTAGGAGTTCTATTAAAAAAATGCAATAACTCTAAGGGTGTTTGAAATTTTTAGTTGTTTACTGAGTTTTACTAGATGCCACGAATATATATTATTCTTATATATTAAGCATGTAGTTCTTAATCAGAATTATTTGGATTTGCCTGAAGAGTTTTTTTTTTTTTTTAGACAGAGTATCACTCTGTTGCCTGGGCTAGAGTGCCGTGGTGTCAGTCTAGCTCACAGCAACCTCAAACTCCTGGGCTCAAGCAATCCTTCTGCCTCAGCCTCCTGAGAAGCTGGGACTACAGGCATGCGCCACTATGCCCGGCTAACATTTTCTATATATATTAGTTGGCCAGTTAATTTCTTTCTATTTTATAGTAGAGACGGGGTCTCGCTCTTGCTCAGGCTGGTTTCTAACTCCTGACCTTGAGCAATCTGCCCGCCTTGGCCTCCCAGAATGCTAAAATTACAGGCGTTAGCCACTCCGCCCGGCCTGCTGAAGAGTTTTTAAAAAATGAGATGAGCTAAGAATCACAGAGACCAATGGGGAAAAATGAAATAAAAAAAGAAAAAAAATGGGAGAATTTTTTTTTTAAACCAGAAAAAAAAAAAAAATTGGTGACCAGCACCCATCCCAATCCTATGGAATCACTTTCCTCTGGGTATAGGCACTTGGTACCTTCTTTTTTAAAGTTCTATGGGTACTGCTGATGTGCATCTCCTGGCTAAGAGCCACTGCTTTAAGCCACTATCAACCAGTAGCTAAATTGTCAACCAGAGTCACTAAGAATAAACTTGGCCTATTTCACAATATTGTCTAGGGACAGCTTGTCAATGCTCCCTGGTTTCTGATTGCCTCTTGATTTGCTGCCTATGTATGTCCTGATTTTTTTCCTGTTCGGCCTCAGGGCCTTGCCTTCTGGTACTTCTGGACTTCTGAACTGGAAACCTGACCTTTGATTTCAGGAGTCATCACAAGCACAAGTTCTGGTTATATGCTCCAGGTTGGCTCACTGGACCTGGCCTTACTGATCTTTGCATCTAACCCTGTCTCTACCATAAACTTCCATTTACAGCCCTAGTATAACAACCTGCCAAAACCATTGAGTCAGAAAAGAGTCATGATGGCTTCTCTGGAAAATGATTTCAAATAACTGTGGTAGGTAAGTAAGGTCATTATGAATGCATGCTAATCTATTTCAGTAGTCTAGTTTGATTCCTTTCAAACATTGCTTTGTATTTAGCAACGCAACTAAAAACTCTTCAATTTATAAAGGAAAAAAAAACAACAACAACTCCTTAGCTTTCATTAAAGGACTTCCACTATGTAGACCTGACCTACCTTTCTGGATATTACACTATATTCTTCATGCACCTGGTGCTCCAACATAGTAGAACTTCACTAATTCCCCAGGAAGCCATCAACAGTGCTGTCCTTTCTTTCTTCACATTTTCAATATCTGGCAAGATTATTTTCACCAGCAGCTTCCCCTTCCTTTACTCATGTCTAAATCCTATCACTCCATTGAAGCAGTGTTTCCCAAATCTGAGTAACGTACAGATTCCTAAAAGAAATTCTTATAATCCTAGAGAATATGTTTTCAAACAGGCAGGGGTCCATAGACCACAAGTTTGAAAAGCACTGATATAGAAACTAATGACTAAATCTATAAAAATAATTATGCAAATGTTCACTTTGAAAGAAGAATTTTATCTTTATAATTGGTAAAGTAACTTGTATTTTATCATAGAACTTTGATTCTTATTTTCAGATCTATAATCCCAGTTTGACAAACACTATTTTAAGGTATAGCTTAGACATGTTGACCTTGGAAAATGTTCTTTTATCATTGCAAGGTAGTAATTTTTTCTCTTTTCTGAAGTATTTGATATCTAAGCACCTTCTTGGAGCAGCTAATAATATGCCTGTAGTATTTTCCTAGAAAAGCATAAGCTTTTTGCAGGCAGGGACCCCTAGTACACAGGAGTCCTCAGCAAATACTGGCTGTAAAACCTGTCTGTATTCCATCTTATTTTGTAGTCCAAATCTCTTAAAAATATTGCACCTTTTCTGAAGTCCACACTCACAGAATAGCATATTACTGAAATAGTCCTATAAATTAACAATATGTTTCAGAGGTTGTCTTAAAGGAAAAGTCCAAGTTATGAAACTCAGATTTTAAAAAGTGCCATAGGGTTGCAAATTAACACAACCCCTGTGGAAAGTAATTTGGAGATATCTCAAAGAGCTAAAAATAGATGTACCATTTGATCCAGCAATCCCACTACTAGGCATCTACCCAAAGGAAAAAAAGACATACTGCACTCGAAAGTTTATGGCAGCACAATTCACAATTGCAAAGATGTGGAAACAACCTGAGTGCCCATCAATCATGAATGGATTAATAAAATGTGGTATATGTATACCATGGAATACTGCTCAACTACAAAAAACAATGGTGAACTAGCACCTCTTACTTATATTATCCTGAATAGAGCTTGAGCCCATTCTGAGAAGTGAGTTATCTAAGAATGGAAAAACATGTACCACATGTACTTGCCATCAAATTGGTACTAACTGATCAACACTAAAGTGCTCATATGTAAGTAATATTCACTGGGTGCTGGTCAGGTGGGACAGGGGTGGTAGGGTGGGTAAACTCACAACTAACGCATACAGGACAGTATGCACTGTAGCCCTGGCTTGGGCAAGGCAAAGGCACAGGCATTATAGGTAACCAAAATGTTTGTACCCCTATAATATTTTGAAATTAAAAATATACATAAAATAGGCCTTCAATAAATATTTGTTAAATTAATAAAAAATAAAAATATGTAACTTAAAGTGTCATAAAGCATGTCTCTTCTGTGTTAACACGAACACTTTCTTTAAGTGATCAGAAGGCAAATATGGATTTCAGGATAAAGACTAAAATCCGGAAATGCAAGGCTAGTGGGAGAGGCCTTATAAGTATCTATATAGTTTTATAAAGGCTAAGTCCCTTAACTCGTATTTAAGGCAGTATCTTCGTTTTTTCAAATAGTGTAATTGAAGAAAATGTATTCCTAGGACATGTAGGAACGGATTCATTACTTCAGGTAAGACGACAGGAGCTTAACAGAGAGTGTCTTCCCTCGTGAGTATTTGGAACGAGTCTGAGAGGCAGCATATGGGGAGAGGAAAAAGCACTGGCAGGGTTCCGGGGAACCCATTCTCTGCATTATCTGGGTCAGCTGAAGTCACTTTTTTCACTTTAAAATGAGGGTAAGGGATTATAATTTGCTAAGGTACCCCCCAGCTTTGAAATATATTCTATGGTCTTCAGTAAACAGGGCTTTAAGAAAGGTGCTTCTTTGATATGACCAGTCAGGTTTTCCCGACAATAAAACGGACAACAAACTTTCATAGTTTTTGCAATCTTCCACTAGGTCCTTTTGGGGTTGGGTTAAGAAAAATAGGGTTAGTTCCCTTTTGGGGGGGGTCCCCAGAAGAGAGCGCTCGGGGCCTGCTGCGGGCCCAGCCCTCCCCTGTGGTCGCTCCCTAAGGCCAAGCGAGGCTCGCCCCTCTTCTTCACTCCCCAGCAGGAGCCGAGGGACTGGCAGAGACCAGTCCCCGGGTCATAAACAACCTCTCGCTTCCCCTCCCCCGCCCCGGGCCCGCCCGCGCTGGGGCCGGCCCTCCGAGGCCCAAGACCCTCCTCAGGAGGGCGGCCGCGGGCGTGCCCTGTTCTCCTAACTGGTGTTTGTTCACTTTACTCAGCCCTCCTCACTCGTCCACGCTATAGTCACACAGGGAAGCTGACACCAGCCCCCATTTCCCTTCCTCCGACCCCTATCACCTCCAACAGCCAAGGAGAGGCCGACCGCCCTGACGCGCAAGCTCACAGTCGCGGCCTCCCTGCGCGCGCCGACGCGGCCCCAGCCCCCACCCGCGGTCCTTCCGCGGCCCGTCCCCGCCCCTTCCCGAAGCCCGCCTCCGCGTCTGCCCGCCCGCTGGATTGCCCCTCACGCTCGCTCTCGCGCGCACCCGACGCCCCGCCTCCGCGCGTGCTCAATAACTGTCCCCGGAGCCGGCCTACTAGCTTCCCCCGCCCCTGAGCTGTTTGAATATGCTAATAAGAAGCTACGGACTAGCCAATAGAATGGCGGGGCGGTGCATCACGTGGTTCGGGGACGTGTCAGGGGCGGAGCCTCTGCAGCCCCTGCCCGAGTTAAAACCGGAGTGTGAGAGAGAAAAGCGCTTCAGTAGCGAGAGGGGCTGAGAAAGTGGTGACACCGCCGGGGTGCGGAGGGAGTCCCTGAAACTTCTCCCAACAGCCCCAGGGCCAATCTCCCCTCAGCCCACTCCCCTCTTCGCCAGCTCCCAGGTCCCCACTCCCTGCACCGGGGGTGGGGTGGGGAGCCAGGCCCGTCTCCCGCTGGGACACACACAGGGGCCGGGAGCGGGGACGGGACCCCCGAGGCGGGGGGGACGGACCGACAGAGAGACGGCCGGGCGCCCGCCCCAGCGGGCAGGCAGGCAGGAGGAGGCGGAGGCGGGGGTACGACGGGGAGGACTGGGTCTGGGGAGTTTCCTCTCAACTATCGGGGGAGAAACTCCCCGCAGCCGGAGGAAAGACCCAGACGGTGTTTTCCTCCCGGGGGCCGCGCTCCCCCGCCCCGCGTAGCGGCGGTCGCCGCCGCCGCCACCGGCGCCTCCACCTCTACCATCTCTTTCTCCACCACCTCGGGCCCCGGTGTCCCCGGCCAGCACTATGCCCATCTTACTGTTCCTGATAGACACGTCTGCCTCTATGAACCAGCGCAGCCATCTGGGCACCACCTACCTGGACACGGCCAAAGGCGCGGTAGAGACCTTCATGAAGGTACCGACTGACCGAGCCCGGGCGGCGACCCCGGCCCGGCGGCCCGCTGGAGGCAGGGTGGGGGGAGGGCGGCTGGGGGCGGCGGGGCGGGGGTGTCGGGGACCTGACTGCGGGAGCTGCCGGGCTCGGGGACCCCCTCCCCCACCGCGCGGGCGGGCGGGCGGGCGGGCGCTGCGAGCCGGGCTCGGCCCGGGCCCTAGCTCCGGCTCCGGGCGGTGTGTGGGGAGCGATCTGTGTTTGGGGGGCGGCGTGGAGGGGTGGCCGCTGCGTGTGCGGTACTGTGGGGGCGGCGAGGCCGCTGGGCGCCCTTCTCCGCCTGGTAATCTCGCCTCTGTGCTTCCCTCTTGCCCGCCCTGTTCCTCCTCCCGTTCCGCAGCTCCGTGCCCGGGACCCTGCCAGCAGAGGAGACAGGTATATGCTGGTCACTTTCGAAGAGCCGCCCTATGCTATCAAGGTAACAGCCCTCGCCCTCCCCCTTTCCTCCCTTCCCTTCCCTGTTCCTTCCTCGCTCGCCCTCCCCGCCCCCCCATTCACCCTTCATTATGCTCCCCTCCCCCACCCGCCGCGCTCGGGGCGCTGAGGTCTCTTCCCCTGCGGGCTCCCACCCCCTCCCCCGCTCGGGAGCGTCCTGGCGCAGCACGGAGTCGCCGGGCCACCGCCGTCCCCTCCCCGGCCCGGCCTGGCCCGGCCCGCGCGGCGGCGGCGGCGGCGCTGCGATCAACATGGCCGACATTTCCCCTCCGCGGCGTGAGCGGCAGCAATGAACTGTGGGGGATATTTATTCAAGTTAGCCCGAGTGACAGCCGGGCCCGGCCGCGCAGAGCCCCGGTTTGCATTAAAGGGGAATCGGCCCGGCCGCCGAGGGAGCCCGATGGGGGGCTGTGAGGCTTGGGCTTGTCAGAGCCGTCCTAAGGGGGCCACGGGCCGGTGGGACAGCTGTAGGTTAACTTCGGAAGTCCTATTCCCATCTGCTTTCCACTAGCACCTTCACATGTCCGCTTTTTGGGTATTATGTTAGGTAGTAAATTTGTCAGTGAAGTTATAAAGTACTAAGGCTGTTAGCTACCAAAAGCTATAGAGCAAGTAGGTTTATTTCTGGCCACCGTTTGAAAGTTTCAAATAATACCATGATATGGTATTAATACATTAACCAAGCTGTAACAACCAAAAGTGAAGAGGCTACTTGGTGCATGTCAGATTAGAACAGCTGTCCGTGTGTAGCTGGCTTTAAAAGATGAAAAAAAAAATTCTTACATTTTTCTTTTCAGGCTGGATGGAAAGAAAACCATGCAACGTTTATGAATGAACTGAAAAACCTTCAGGCTGAAGGACTTACGACTCTTGGCCAATCCCTAAGGACAGCTTTTGATTTATTAAATTTAAATAGATTAGTAACTGGCATAGACAACTATGGGCAGGTAGGTTGAATAAGGTGGCAAAATAGTTACCTTTTATTTTTGTGGAAAAACAGTCCAGTCCAAAAACTATATAACATAAAATACAAGTATAAAACATTTCAGATTAAAATACAGTGTGCACATTGTACAAAGGTAAAACTCTCACCCTGTTGTGTATGGTTTTACATCCCTCGTTTTTTTTCCTCTTTAGAATGCATTTGTATTCAGAATTAGAATCTGAAATTTTTGCTATGAAGCTGACATGAATTTGGTTTTAATCCCTTGGAAGTTCACTAAAGACATAAAAGGGAAAACATCTGCCTCACCAAACTCAGTTACTCTGATACTCTACGCTAGGCAAATGTGCAACTGTTTCAGTGGATTACAGACACTAGTTGATTAGTGGTTTCTCTATATCAGTGAAAGTGTTAGAGGAAATTATTCAGTTTGTTCTATCAGGGTTTAATTTAACCACAGTGTATATGTATTACAAAAGGTAAGAAGATTTTCATTAGAGTGCACTGGCTGGGTACATTAAGGTTTCTCTTTAGAAGCATACACAGTTAACGGGCAGGAAAAATTCTGAATTGCAGATCTAAAGATTTGTTTTAAACTCCAAACCCTTGGCTGAAAGACTGGAAAATATGAGGGAACCCTTCCTTCCTTCCATAACTCCCTCAAGTCCCTTTATTGAACTTACTTTCATCTATTTGAGGATGAGACTAACCTTTATCACAGGATGGTTCACTAAGGAACAACACAAGGTGGTCCCTCATAAGTTTTTGTGACCCTGGAAATAAAAGATACTGAAGAATGTGTAATGGTACATATAACAAAGGAATATTCTCAAGGAGTTCAATTATTATGTTGTGCACAATACTATTACCGTAGTGGTATATTTAGGTATGTGTTGCGTTCTTTTCCAAAGTTCCATAGTCCCCTGTTATCATGAGTTTCACATATTTGTGTGACTATAAATTTTATTTGCTTTATATAAAAGAAACTGAACTGTTACCTCATTTACAAATCTTTATGCTTTACTTCTTAGGAATAACTATTCGGCACTTAAGAGTGTTTGCAAATGGTTGAATTTAGTCCTATATAGCATTTAGAGTGTACATTACAATTCAGAGTCATTTTACCAAATTGAACTTTTTAATTAGGTAAATGTGTATTTTCTTACCACATTAATATTTCTATTTTTTCCCTTCTCTGCAGTGCTTTATTTTGCAACTCCATGCTTTAGGTAGATTTGCCACGAACATTTTGGTTTGTTTCTTAAAATAATGATTTCTTTCTCTTTCATATTCCTTTGTTATATGTAGTGCTACACAGTATTTTATTGCTTAAGAGTTTCATCCAGTCTTTGAGTTCAAAGATGTTTGAAACTTACCATTTTGTGGTTACCTGATTTGGATTGTCAGTTGTCAATGTATAGCAGAACTATTAATTTCCCGTTTTTCTGCATCACATTTCGTAAGTGGGCAAGACATTTGTACACATTTACCTCCTACTATCTATTGAAACTATTTCTTAGGATGTTTCCTTAGAAGAATGACTTCTAATGGAGAAGCTGAGGACATTTGTAACTTAAGCTTGTATTTTCCTTTTCTCAGTTGCCATCTTCCACACCAGAGAACACTTTAGTTCTGGTCTATAAAGAAAGGTTACAAAAAGTTTGAGGGCAATGTGGTGCTACTGTGTTGTTAACACTTTGACCAAGAGAAGAGCTGGGCCTGAAGATTGGGATGTTACTGTTTATTAATTCAACAACAGGGAGGGATAATGCTTCTCAATTATTTTGATGAATAAGCAAGGATGCAAGGCATGATGTTAATGCTTATGTCTTGAATTGGCACATAAAAATGACACTGGCATTAAAATAATTTAAGAAGCCACAGTTTCCAAATGAAAGTGATTATTTGAGTAAAGAGTATTCAATTAGAAGAAAACATCTTTGCAGAAGATTTTTTTCATCATAAAACTGTTTTTCTTGCTGATTCAAACACTTTATATATTCTGTTCATACAAAGGATAAATTAGGAATTTCAGATGTCTCACATATTTAATACTAAATACCATTCATGTGTTTTCTTCTTTGTAAAAGTACTTTGTATCTGCCTGTTTTCTGTGGAATACCTTTATACTGTAACCTCAGTTTTTTTAAGTGCTTCACTTTTCATGCTCTATACTAGGATCTGTGGAGCCCACAGTACTAAATACTTATATATAATCTCAGTAGTTGAAGGAAATGAGAAAAGGTGAGTTAGGTGGAAGATAGAACATAACTATTTTATAGAGCATCTAAAAACTTTATAATAAGTTTCTAATTATTTTCTTAAATATCTAAATGTGGATTAATGCGTATATATTTATTTGTATATTACATAGATAATCCTCTCTCCCCACATACATGCACATATATGATTTTCCACAACCGATTGCAAGAATATTAATGTCCATATTGCATTTGTTAGTTAGCATACCTTCGAATAAAATATCTTTTGCATTACTAGCTAGGATGCTATCAGAATTTGCAGAGCACCAGTGAGGTTAAAGTAGCTGAGAAAAAAGCATGATTCTTTTGAATATTTTCATCAACCACTTTGGGTATCCTACTAAGAAATTCTGTGCCTGTAGAAGTTTTTGTAAATAATTTTGATAATTAGTACCATTTGCTCATATTTCTACAGTCCTGGAACAATGTGTAGCCTCTAGTCACTCTTTGTAGAGGACCTTAAAATTGCTTATCATTGCAGATAAATTCGATAACATTTTTTCACATGTGTTCAACAGTTTCAAATAATGCTGACCCCCAGAGCCACTGAAAATCTGAACCATCCTTAATACCTAAAATTAGGAAATGTATAAAGTTGTAGAAGTCTGATTAAAGTTTTATATGTAGATCAGTTTTTTTATACTGTTTGGAATTGCCCGTTTTGATTAGTGTTTTCAACATTGCCTCTCTCTTTTTTTAAGTTAGGTTTCAGTTAGCTGCTATTCAGATTAGCTGCTGTATATTACTCTGGCCTGTAACTCATCATTTTTGTTGCTGACCTGACTCCATACCTCACTGTACAATATATTAGTACTGATTAGATTGTTTCAGGACTTAGAATGGCACCTGACCTACTGTGTGTGTACCCTTGGTAAAGACAATCCTTGAGAGATGATCCTAAAAGGAGATAATATATGTATTTGATTTTTTGAGGACTTCAATAATGAGGGTTTACGCCTCATTGAAAAATGGTGGCTTTAGAGGTAAGATCAAATTGAATGATTCTTAGGGAGAATATTAACTAGTTTTATTCTTTGGCATATAAAGGTCTATTTATGAATTTAGCAGATAATCCAGGAAAATTACTGCGGATTCTACTTTTTTCCCTTTACTGAAGTAGTACCTGTTTAGTACTCAAGTAGTACAAGATAAAGGCTTCTCTTTGAAGGTTACCAGGTGAAAAAAAATAGTGAAAACTTGGCTGGGAACGGTGGCTCACGCCTGTAATCCTAGCACTCTGGGAAGCAGAGGCAGGTGGATTGCTCGAGATCAGGAGTTCAAGATCAGCCTGAGCAAGAGCGAGACCCACTCTCTATTAAAAAAATAGAAAGAAATTAGCTGTACAACTAAAAATATATATAGAAAAAATTAGCCACGCATGGTGGTGCATGCCTGTAGTCCCA